AAACAAGACATGTTCGGATGCAGCCTTTTTTCCTTTCCAATTCCTCCGTTCACTGTGCATTGTTTCTCCACTGCTTTATTACATTTAAAAAATTGTGAAACTATAATTTTCTGCACCTAATATACCAAACAATTTAATAAAATTAATAACAACATATCAACAATATATACCCATGACATAAATATACTAAGCAATTATAAAAATTATTAGGATTATATAGTTACTTTAGAAGTTGCTCCCAAACACTGTGCAACTAAATTTTTCATTAAAACTAACGATAGTACGAAAAAAAGACTAATTAATGAAAATACGATCTCAAAAAATTTTTAATTCACAGTCACAATATGTGAATTCGTGATAAATACAAAAAAGTATGATACTTTTTAAATATAATGAAGGAAAGCCATAAAGAGCAGGCCATTTACGGGAAAAGTTTTCATTTATAAAAATACCAACTCTTCACGGCTTTCTTACCAGTCCTCCAACGTATGAGCAAAGTGCCAATAATTAAATTAGTAATTTTTTCGATTTATACATAATTAATTTTTTTTTGCATTTCCGCAAAAAACAAATGAAAATTTTTTATTAGAAAGCACAAAAGTCAAAATGATTGGTCTAAAAGGGAAGAAATAGCATATATGTACAGTACTTGTATTTTCACGTTCGCAATGCTACAGTGCTGTTTTTGAAAAACACCCCCAAAAATATTTAATCCAAACGGAACCAATCTTAGTTATTTAAAGGGGAAATCGTTCAAAACGTCTCTCACATTTACAAGATGACTTTTTCGTCCCTCACTTTTAAAAGTGTAATTTTACGTTCCTTACAAATTCACATTAACCAAATTTGGTCCCTACCTAAGTTTCTGACTAGTTTTTGCCGGAATCCACCACGTGACTTGCATGTGATCAATTTTTAAGGGCAAAATTGTCAAATCAAAATTTTAAATAATCTGATTCATAGTCCCTCACATTTCACAAAATCAATTTTTTCGTCCCTAACATTTTACAAAATGAGTTGCTTCATTCCTCACATTTTAAAAAATGAATTTTTTCATCCCTCATATTTTTTAAAATGAATTTTTTCATCCCTCATTGATCATGTATACGAATAGCTTTTTTTCTATAAACCCACATATACGTCTATTTGATTTTACCTGAATAGTATGAATGACATGTAATTTATCTCTATTGAATTTCATCTAAACATGCTAATTGTAGTTATACACATGCTATTCAATAGATATATATAGGGGTTTTAAACTAATAATTTTGTTTGAAACTCATGTATATATTTATATGATTTCACCATTTGAACCTATTCAATATTTGTGACATTTCTCTTTTGATAATAATTTATTTATTGAATTGTATAATAAGGTCATCTAATTAATGGGTCCTAACTCGAATTCTATAATTGTGCTAACAAATTTCAGTTTAAATCTGAAATTTCTACTCAATACTTTCAACACCAATAGTTGAATTACTTACCTTGTGATTGTATTAAAATTTGAAAGTGCCAATCACTTATTTCTTTTTGTCATACTTTTCTTTTGTTTATTTTTTCTATCCAAATTTAATTCGATATAAACACTCGATAATATTTAGGATTAAATGTCTTCTTTATTATCAAATTTCGAGTAAAAGAAAATGAATATAAGTGAAAAACTAACAATTTTTTTAAACCAATGTATATATCTATTTGATTTCACTTGAGTAATACGAATAGTGTGTAATATATCTCTATTTAATTTCACATGCTATTCGTACTGTTCAGGTGAAATCAAATAAATATATATATGGGTCTAAAAAAAAATTATTCATACACATGATCAATAAAAGATAAAAAAAATCATTTTGAAAAATGTGAAGGACGAAAAAATTTATTTTATGAAATGTGAGGGATTATGAATCGAATTATATAAAATTTGATTTGACAAATTTGCCCTTAAAATATGATCAAGTGCAAGGTATGTGGTGAATTTCGATGAAAAACTAGTCGGAAACTTAAGTAGGACAAGATTTGATCAATGTGAATTTGTAAGGGACGTAAAATTACATTTTTAAAAGCGAGGGACCAAAAAGTTATTTTGCAAAATGTGAGAGACGTTTTGAACGATTTTTCCTTATTTAAAATACCAAATTTGTGGATGTGTTTTAATTATTATCCATTGGTATCCTAAGGTATCATTTTTTCATCAAATACCAGCTCTTTAACGCCCATTTTTTCATAAATAAATTTATTTATCGGATAAAATAAAAATATATCCGTTTTTCACTAAATAGCTGGTGTTTTATTGGAAAACAATTTATTTTTATTTTATCTAACAAATAAATTTGTTTATGAGAAAATGGGTACTCTGTCCTTATAATAGAAGAAAGTCATAAAGAGCTGGTGTTTTATGAGAAAATAGGTACTCTGTTCTTATACTAGAAAAAAGTCATAAAGAGTTGGTGTTTTATTGGAAAACGGGTTTATTTTTATTTTATCTGATAAATAAATTTATTTATGAAAAAATAGGTGTTAAAGAGCTGGTATTTGATGAAAAATGATACTTTAGGATACCAATGGATAATAGTTAAAACACATTCACATATTTGATATTTTAAATAATGAAGACTGTGATTTAAAATACCAAATCTGTGAATGTGTTTTAATTGTTATCCGTTGGTATCCTATAGTATCATTTTCCATCAAATACCAGTTTTTTAACACCCATTTTTTCATAAATAAATTTATTTATCGGATAAAATAAAAATAAACCCGTTTTCCAATAAAACACCAGGTTTTTATGGGTTTCCTATATTATAAGAACAGAGTACCCATTTTTTCATAAAACACCAACTCTTTATGGTTTTTCTCTATTATAAGAACAGAATACCATTTTTTATAAATTTATTTATCGGATAAAATAAAAATAAACACATTTTTCAATAAATCACCAGCTATTTATTGGAAATAGCTATTTATTGAAAAATGAGTATGTTTTTATTTTATCCGAAAAATAAATTTGTTTATGAAAAAATGGGTGTTAAAGAGCCGGTATTTGATGGAAAAATGATATTTTAGGATACCTATGGATAACAGTTAAAACACATTCACAAATTTGATATTTTAAATAATGAAGACTGTGATTTAAAATACCAAATAACAGTTAAAACACATTCACAAATTTGGTATTTTAAATAATGAAGACTGTGATTTAAAATACCAAATCTGTGAATGTGTTTTAACTGTTATCCATTGGTATCCTATAGTATCATTTTCCATCAAATACCAGTTCTTTAACACCCATTTTTTCATAAATAAATTTATTTATCGGATAAAATAAAAATAAATCCGTTTTCCAATAAAACACCAGTTTTTATGGGTTTTCTATATTATAAGAACAGAGTACCCATTTTTCCATAAAACACCAACTCTTTATGGTTTTCCTCTATTATAAGAACAGAGTATCCATTTTTTCATAAATTTATTTATCGGATAAAATAAAAATAAACCCGTTTTCCAATAAATCACCAGCTAGTTATTGGAAATAGTTATTTATTGGAAAATTGATATATTTTTATTTTATCCAATAAATAAATTTGTTTATGAAAAAATGGGTGTTAAAGAACTGGTATTTGATGGAAAAATGATACTTTAGAATACCAATGGATAACAGTTAAAACACATTCACAGATTTGGTATTTTAAATAATGAAGATTGATTCCATTTGGATTAGATATTTTTGGGGATGTTTTTCAAAAACAGCACTGTAGCATTTTCGAACGTGAAATACAAGTACTGTACATATCTGCTATTCCTTTCCCTTTTAGACCAATCATTTTGACTTTTGTGCTTTCTGATAAAAAATTTTCATTTATTTTTTGTGGAAATGCAAAAAAAAATTTAATTATGTATAAATCGAAAAAATTACTAATTTAATTATTGGCACTTTGCTCATACGTTGGTGGACTAGTAAGAAAGCCGTGAAGAGTTGGTATTTTTATTAATAAAAATTTTTCCTGTAAATGGCCTGCTCTTTATGGCTTTCCTTCATTATATGATCAAAGTACCATACTTTTTTGTATTTATCACGAATTCACATATTGTGATTGTGAATTAAAAATTTTTCGAGATCGTATTTTCATTAATTAGTTTTTTTTCATACTATCGTTAGTTTAAATGAAAATTTTAGTTGCACGGTGTTTGGGAGCAACTTCTAAAGTAACTATATTATCCTAATAATTTTTATAATTGTTTAGTATATTTATGTCATGGGTATACATTGTTGGTATGTTGTTATTAATTTTATTAAATTGTTTGGTATATTAGGTACAGAAAAGTATAGTTTCACAATTTTTTAAATGTAATAAAGCAGTGGGAAAACAATGCACAGTGAACGGAGGAATTAGAGGGGAAAAAAGGCTGCATCCGGACATGTCTTGTTTGGTTTATCTTCACGCGTGTTATCACTGCAACATAACGATTTGTAAACTCCTCATTTCATAAATACATGTGTCATGCTCTGAGGATCTGCCTATGGTAGGAAGTTCCTACCATAAAGGTTTCCAGCTCTATATATCTATCTGCAACATAGCTGAAGTACTGAAATTTCTTCCGACATTTCACGTGACCATGGGTGGATCAACCCATTTCTCTGTTTTCTTACTCGTCGCAATAATTTTACTCTGTTCTTCCAGCAAAACTGTAAATGCAAGTTGCTATGCAAGTGAGAAACAAGCTCTTATGGACTTCAAGAAAGACTTGGAAGATCCCTATGGTAGACTCTCGTCTTGGATTCGCGACGTTGATTGCTGCAAATGGGAAGGAGTTGTTTGTAGCAACCAAAGTGGCCGCGTGATTCAACTTCACCTTTAGAGGCCTGTTCCTGAAATTGTTCATTATGGTGATCTGGTGTTTGTTCATTCTAACTCACAATTAAGCGGTAAAATCAGTCATTCGTTACAAAATTTGACTCACTTGCGTTATCTTGATCTAAGTCTAAATGATTTCAGTCGAATTCCAATTCCCAGTTTTTTTGGGTCTCTCAGAAGTCTGAGGTACCTGAATTTATCTGGAGCTGGATTTCAAGGAATGGTTCCCTATCAGCTTGGAAACCTGTCAAGTTTACGCACTTTAAGCATAGGAGGAGATCCGTCCGATCTTCAAGTTGATAACCTGCAATGGTTGGCTGGTCTCTCTAATCTGGAGCACCTAGACATGAGTGGCGTGAACCTTAGTCTAGCGTCTAATTGGCTAGAGGTGATTAACACGATCCCTTCTTTGGTAGAGATATATCTGTCCTATTGTCAGCTTCATTTAATTTCTCATCATCTTGGCAGAGATACATTGGTCTTCCATGCCAACTTTTCTTCTCTTACTGTCCTAGATCTTTCTGGAAATTTTCTTGGATACCCTAGATGGATTTTCGGTCTTACTACCCTTGCTTCCCTTGATTTAAGTCTGACCTTGTTTGAAGGTCCATTGCCTAGAGGTCCTTGGAACTTGACTTCCCTCCAGCACTTGGATCTTTCAACGAACCATCTGAATGGTTCGCTACCAAACGAGCTTGTTCATCTTAACAATCTCATTTCTCTCAACCTTTGGGAGAATGATTTCGACGGCTTCTTGGAAGGAATTTGGAATTGGAGCTCCCTTACATCTTTGGATCTGTCAGATAATAACTTCGCTACCTTCCTCCCAAGCCAATTATCGACTTTAACTGCCCTAATTTCACTTGATCTTACAAACAATCAGTTTCGAGGTTCTATCCCAAGCTCTATTGCCAACATTTCCAACCTTCAATATCTTGATCTATCTAATAACACTCTTAGCTCCTCTTTACCAAGTGAAGTATTCACATTGAAGGACTTGATTAGACTTGATGCAACAGATAATCACTTGAACGGCCCAATTCCAAGTACAGTTGGCAACTGTACCAAGCTAAAATACCTTTTGCTAAATAGTAATGCTCTATCTGGCTCAATTCCATCAAATTTAGGAAGATATACCAAGCTAGAATACCTTCGGCTAAATGATAATGCTCTATCTGGCTCAATTCCATCAAATTTAGGAAGATGTACCGAGCTCAAAGAACTTTTGCTAAATGATAATGCTCTATCTGGTTCAATTCCATCAAGTTTAGGAAAACTGTCATCCTTGGAGCTCTTGGATGCATCTCGCAACAAACTCACTGGAACTCTTCCTGAAAGTCTTTGGCAGCTTCCCAAACTTGAAGAGCTTCGTATTCACGACAATTTAATGGAAGGCATTGTGAGCGATAGTCACTTCGACAATCTGACAGCTTTAAGGCATTTTAATCCATGTTTTCAAACTCGGACCGGACCGGCCGGTTGGACCGGTTGAACCGGGAACCGGTCAGGCATCCGGTCCGAGTTGCCATTAAAACTCGGTTGGCCAAAACTCGGTCAAATCCGGTCAAAACCGGGGTTCGACCGGAAACCGGTACGAACCGTTAAAACCGGGCTTTTCCATTTTTCCTTTCCTTCTAACTTTTTTCTTCCCGCTTGTGAGTTTAGTTCTCAGCAGCATAGCTTCCTTCTTGTTCTTCTCACATATCATCAGCTGGCATGGACTCAATCAAAACCAGCTTTTATAATTAATTTTTAAATAAGATCTCATAGATCTCATGTCAATAAACGAAAAAAAAGACAAAGAAAATTGTAGAAAGGAGAAACATAAAGAAAAGAGAAATTAGAAAAAAAAAAGAAAAGACGATTTCTGAGTTCAAAAAGAAAAAATTAACAAATTAAATTTGCAAAGGTAAAAAAAAAATCAGGAAAACGAAAAGATGAAAGAAACATAAGATTGGCAATGATGGGAAGACAATAAGATAAATGAAGCAGCGGCAGGCAGCGTGGAGACTTGAGGAAAAGGCAAAGAAATAGGAAGAGTATTACTGGGGCGGAAGAAGAAGGAATGGGAGGAAAGGAGTTATTGTGGAGATAAAGTACAAGAAAAGAGCTCCGGTGAATGAGAGAAAGAAAAGCCGAAAAGGTGCCAGGATAAAGTCAAAAGCAAATTGGGGCGGCGGCTAACATCATATTAGGTATGCTTGCTCCAAAATTGTTTTAATAATTTCATTTGACCCCATATTATTTTAAGAAGTATAAAATCCACCCATTATATTTTTTTAAACTACAAATTTACCTATAATTTTGAAGTGCATTTCTTTTGGACTAAATCCAAACTCATCAAATATGCATATAAAGTTATAAACCATCAATTTAAAGGGAATTTTTATATATTATTTTAATTATATATCATTAATATATATTTATGACGTCATCCGATTCAACCCCGGTTGAACCCGGTCGAACCCATTGACCCCTGACCCTTGACCTCAGCCGAGTCGATATCCGGTCCGAGTCTGAAAACATAGATTTTAATGCCTCTGGAAACTCCTTGACCTTAAAAGTAAGTGCAAGTTGGACTCCTCGTACCCAATTTAAAACACTTGGATTGGGCTCGTGGAAGCTGGGTCCCCAATTTCCTACATGGATCCGATCACAAAAATTCCTTCAGTATTTGAACTTGTCATTCACGGGAATTTTAGATACCATTCCACCTTGGTTATTCAACTCATCATTGGATACCGTAGACCTTTCTCACAATCAACTTCATGGTAAGAGTTCAAATATCTCTGAAGTTGTTAAGGGTTTATATCTTTGAAGTTCAAATATCTCCTTGACCTTTCCTACATTCAATTGCCTACACACCCAATTAATTTATCATTGATTGACATATTTAGAACTTAATTTCCAACTATTTATTTTCAGGAGGCATCTCTCACATTTTGTGTGAAGTGAAGAATGAAAATCAAGTTCTTCAATATCTGGATCTTCGGGAGAATTCTCTATCAGGAGAAATTCCTGACTGTTGGATGAATTACCTAGTCTTGTATCACATCAACCTCAACAGCAATAACTTCACTGGAAGCATTCCAAGGTCATTGTATCATTTGGAAGGTCTGGACTATTTAGACTTGGGTAATAACAGCCTCACTGGTCCGATAACCTTTGACTTTGAATAAATAAGTTTGGAATTCGGAACCCTCCGGCAGAGTTGTGGTGATGTAATTGCAGGTCAAGCTGCAATCCCAAATCTTTCATATATAGAAAATGTTGTAATTTTTAACAGTCGTTAATGGATTCACCAGTGTTTTGAAGCTATGATTGTCAGATTCCACGTAATGGTTTCTATTATACATTTGACGACAATAGGAAATGACATTTGCACCCCGTCCTCTTGAAATGAACCAAAGAAAAAGTCAATATTACCTAAAATGCATATCAAACTGTAAACTTGAAATGAACATCTTTACTTGGAGAAGTTCAGTTTTCTGATCCAGTATTAGGCCCAACTGTTTTGATCAAAATAAATTTGGTCTCCAAAATTTATCCTTTTTTTTTATCAAATTTATGACTAGACAATAATTCAATAATTCTCATGGTCAAAATCAGTTTACCTTTAGCCAACAGTTTTACTTTGCATTTATTTAGAGTTTGAATTGTTATAGTTTCTTAAGTTTTAAGTAATATTATTAAGAGTTTTAAATAAAAAGATAAATAAATTAGATCAAAATTGTTTTTAGACGTGTATTACAAATACTGTTTAAATTTCTTTTACTTCTTTTTTTTATTTTCTTTGTTTTATAATGCCACTAGTTTCTTTGATCATGAGTTCTCTCCTTTTCTTTCACATATATTAATTGTTAAACACTCAATTATATTAGATGTAAATTAGATTGACAAGCTAACATATATTTTCTTTCTTTTTTTTCTTTGTACATTTCAACAGATTATCAATCCAGTTCGAAATGAAATATATATTATATAAAATTATTTAGATTTTGAGATAAAATTATTTACATACATGAACATTATAACAATTAATCACTTTCAACGATAAAAATTTTTTTATTACCCCCTTCAATCTAATTGTCTAGTGAGCGTAACTTTCAACTCCCTTTGAATCTCTTCTTATTAGAAATTCTAAAATCCGATCGACTCTAAATCATGGGAGAATGCCTTTAAAAAGAAATAAATATCGAAAAACTTGAAGAAAAATAAAGCAGTGCCCCAGGAAGTGTTTGAGGAATAACTTTGTTGCTATTACCCAATCACATGCTATGAAACAAATAGAAGGCTTTTATGCATGTCTGTATTGTGATTCAAGCAGTTGTTGAAATTTCAGCAATTTGGGTGATATTAAAAATTTGTGAGAGTTGAATCCTTTCAGTGATTTAAGAATCGACCTTGATGTTTATGAGAGATCAATTTATGTAAAACTTTGTGAGAGTTTTAATCACTCTCTATCTTTTTCATTTTTTTTAATCACTCTCTATCTTGTTAATCACTAAAGGAAATTTTAGTTAATGTAAACTTTTTTGTTTTTTACTAATTATATATATTTTTTTGGATAATGGATAAAGGCTATAGAAGGTTTCCAGATTTTAACCATGACATGTTGACGTGGAATAAAATGGTGACCCGTCAAGGACAAACGCAGTTTACAGTGACAGGAAAAATTTAAAATACATATGAAACTATAAATATCGAGTTTCTTTTATTGAATTGTGGATGAATATTACCTTTGCTTTGCCTTGTGCAGATAAGATTGTGACGTTTATCAATCTTTTTATTTGCGTACAATTTCTCTTCGCTTAACACTAACCCTTGTGGAGTTGTAGTACTATAAAAGCAAGGGAGAATTGCGAGTTTGGTCCCTAATCTTTGGAGAATTGACTAAAATCTCACTTTTGTTTCAAATATTAAGTCTCTTATTATTCATCATTACAAATTTTGTTAGGATTTTGACCTATTCTTTGTTGTTCAAACCAATTTTTGTATATAACTACTAGTGATGAAGTACATTATAAATGGTGCTAACTTTAAAAAATAAAAGTTCTAAATTAATTTTATTAGTGTAATAGAGAAGTTCTCTCCAACACAATAAAGAGGGATCTAGTCCCTAATTCAATCAATAGCCTTGGTGTAAGCAACTTTTCAAGAATTCACAAGTGCCATTCGAGAGCTAGTTATCAAGTTAGCTAAACACTAGTTACAACCATGTTGGGTTGGTTTGTGTTACATTAATTGAATTGTAAATTATTATTTACCCCCCATTTGTTTCGCCTTCGACCACATAATCAGTCCACTAGTTATGTTTTAACATATACTTATCCCCTGTAGTTTTAGATGTAAAATTGATTCGAAGCACATCTAGTAATATAACAAAAAAAAAGCACATCTAGTAACGGCATTCGTTAAAATTTCAATTAAGTTCTTATTTAAATATGAAATATAACAAGATCCTAACCACTTTACCTAAAATCATAGGAAGATCATGTGGTCGAATGTGAAATCACTGTGGGGTTGGGTGGATATTCTATATTTCATGCCTCACACGCGTTTTTGAAACATGTTTGCATCAATTAATATGAGGGATAAATTCAGAAACCTCCCCTACCTCCCCTAAGGTTTCTGACAATATCACTACTTCCCTTGAGGTTTGTAAAATTGCACAAACCTCCCTTGAGATTAATGTTTTAGTAACAAATTAATCCAAATCACAAAAAGTAACATTTAAAAATACTTTAAGGAGAAAAATGAAACTTTTATCCCATAAATACCCCTTATACATGTATATAAGTTGTATTAGTAAAAGCATAAAAAAATTAAAAGTTAGAAATAATTAATACATACATTTCACTATTCAAAAAGTTCACATTCAACACATTAGACAACACAAATAAACAATAAAACTATACTAATGATCATAAGATTTAGTATAATAGACCGGTCATCACTCTTAACATTAGGTTTTACTATAATTCTTGTGATTATGAACAGAAAAAAATTTTAAATTTCGCCTTTCTTTTCCCTTATTTCTTCTTTATTTCCATGAAATTACTTTATAACTATTATAGTTTTAAGAGTTAAAAAAAAAAATTTCCATGAACAATCTTCTTTTGCCATATGTTTTTCCTTTTACCAAAGCTCTTCTTCTCACATTGTGTATAACTAGATTTTAATTATTGTCAAGTTCTATCAATCACAAAATAGCACCATCTGGTATATCAATTGGCCTTATCTTACAATTGCAAGTCACTATTCATCATTAAAGAAAATTTCAACAATTATTTTCATTAATTAGTTACTTATAGTTAATTAGTGATCTAATTACTCAATCATTAGATATTAGTTTCTATAAGACATAATGTCTTAGGGTATATGAGTAATTTTTCCCATGTGATATAATTGGGCCCACCATTCTACTAAGGGAGATAAGTGTAATTTTACAAATCTCATGAGAGACCAGTGAAATCGTTAGAAACCTCAGGG